GAGCTCACATACCAAAAACTTTACCCACTTAACATGTATTTACTGTATTCAGAATTGTACCACCATCAACATAATCTAATATTACAACATATTCATCACCCTGAAGAAAAAGTCCCATATTCATTAGTGAATGGAATATAACAAATGCACACTAGAGCTCAGTGATGGCTAGGAACAACCTCCATGTGTATCCGTGTTCCATCCCAAAGTATAATCGCTGGAGCCAGTCAGTCTGCAACACTCAGCAGGCAGATCTTTCTGAGAGACTGAGAGAGAGAGAGAGAGAGAGAGAGAGAGAGAGAGAGAGAGAGAGAGAGACAGAGAGAGAGAGAGACAGAGAGAGAGAGAGACAGAGAGAGAGAGAGAGAGACAGACAGACAGACAGAGAGACAGAGAGACAGAGAGACAGAGACAGATCCACGCACATACTTCCTTCTATGAGTTCCCATCTCAGCAAATGTTAACCTATCCAGCGCAGGTATATCCCTCAACTTTTAGTCCACTTTTCCATCCTTCCTCCCAAGCCTCTCTCCACCCTAACTGCCTCCACTTTCATCACTGTTTCCTGCCTGCAAGCAGCCACTACTTTCTAGCACTGTCCCCTGCCTCTGGTGTGCCCACCCCTCCAACCCATTCTCTCCAGAAAGTTGAAGCTCAAATAATACAGCAAACCTGCCCATGATCTTGCTGTTCCTGTGTTCCAGAAGGAGTGTGAAAACACCCACCCCCTTCGCCTCTGGAATGACATTCTAGCTCTCCATGACCTGGTGGTCAGTTGCCTCCTTTTTCCTGGTATCCCTCCCTCACCGTTGCCTTTGTCACCATGCACGGTCACTAGTGTTCACTGGGTTGAGGCTCACACGTTTCCCTACCTCTTGCTTTCCTTGGCTCACACAGCTCCATCTTCTTGGATTCTATTCATCCTTTAACCCCATCCTAATGATGCTGCCCCCAGGCTGCCTTCCAGGATCACTGTCCCCATTATGGGTTCCCAGTGAGACAGGTGGTTCTTGTTTTTGTTTGTTTTTTGCTGTGGTCAAATGTGTAAGCCTAGGATATGGAGGCCAAAACTGAGCACTGGTTATTTGCCAGATCTAAGCTGGCAGGAGGGTAATCTGTCTAATGTGATTGTTCCCACAATGGAAAGCATGCCAGGCTAGAATACCACCAGAGCCATCAAGGACTCTGCTGAGGACTGGAGCTGGAATATTTGACCACAGAGAGATAGGCAGGGCTTACGCTCTAGATAGTGATGGTGAACATTTTAAAGGTCGAGTGCCAAACTGCAATCCAAAGCTTATCATATTTATTGCAAAGTGCTAATACTGAAATTAAACCTCAATACTGAGATTTTAGTTTAGAAAAAATGACTGTTATTGATGCTTAGCTACTAGAGCAACTTGGGTTGGTGTCAACAAAGGGGGTCTCTACATGCCCACCGTGGCACAGGTGCCATACGTTCACCACCACTGCTCCAGTAATACTTCGGTAGCTTTCCTCCAAAATGTGACAGATAGAGGTCCTGAAGAGTGCAGATTGTAGAAGTCAAGCATACACTTCCCACAGGAAGCCTTGACACACCAGGACATATGGTATACATAGCTCCATCATTCTCCAGAACTACAACCTCTGAGCAAAAGGAAAATCTACACACAAGCAGTCTCAACGTTTAAGGCATTTATTCTGAAGGTGACTCTAATCCTGAATTTGGGAAGCCACCAGAATTCTCCAAGATTCTGCCAGATTCAAGTCCATTTCAGTCCATTCCATTCCGTTCCATTCCGTTCCGTTCCGTTCCATTCCATTCCATTCTATCCCATCCCATCCCATCCCATCCCATCCCATCCCATCCCATCCCATCCCATCCCATCCTATCCCTTCCCAACCCATTCCATATTAAGTCTCCACACATCTAAAAGGTATTAGTGGATGGGTTTCATGTCATCCAGATTTGTTTAGGTTCAGCACGAATTACTGGGCCTAGAGATCAGCACTTCCCTTCCTGGTCCAGCTGACAACCACAGATGGGGCTGGGGAGGCCTGTGTGAGCAATGAAGCCCACCTCCAGTTCTAAGACCTCCCTTCCCTAGCTGGCTGGTCACTGCCTCTCTCAGCAGTGGGAAGAGGCACAGGGCTAATAGCCTGAGTCAAACTGCCTGAGTTTGAATCAGTTCTGTCACTCGGGACTGTGTGGCCTTGGGTAGGCAGCTTCATGTCTACACCCTTATACGAGGAAGTGAATGTGAAAACGGGAATGGTGAAGGCATCAGAGATGAACAAGACGACCACAAGCCCAAGGAGAATGTGGTTGCAGAGATTTCAGTCACAGAGGTTCCATGGGAGGTAGAGCGAGGGGATGGTCCTGCTCCTCTTCTTTCACTTGCTGGACCTATCCAGGCAGCAGAGGACAGGAAAAGGGAGATGTCTCTGGGTGGCTGGGAAGGCAGACAGGTGGTGTTCACTTAGCACAGGATGAGTCCTGGGATGGTCTGAATGTGAGCAAAGGGAAAAGAGCTGCCTACAGGGAGTGAGCCTACACTGCCTCTCGAGAAACCAGCGGAGAAAAGGATTATTCCATCCTATCCCACCTCACTCCCAGTGAGAAGCAAAAACACCAAGGCAAGGAATGAGGAACTCTGTGTCCTCTGACAAGGCCATGGGCAATGGGGAAGACACACAGGTGCAGTCTTGTGGGCATCTTTCATTCTGCTAGCTCTCTGAAGACCCTGCTCAGCTATGAGTATTTCCCCTCCCAGGAGTCATACTCCCACTGTAGAAGCCAGAGACTTTGTTTGGAGGAAAGAGCAAGGTGCGTAGAGGTGACCCAGGTGCCACCAGTCAGAAGACACAGACAGCCACTGATCACAGCTCTTGTCTTTCCTCCAGATACACCTGCAGCCAACTTCAGCTTCTGTTACTGGCTACAAGGTCTCCTGGCCTGGTTTCCTGTCCTCCCTCAGATGTCGGAGGGCCTCCATGGCCTTTCTCCCTTTAACTGGCTATAGTTGATTTCTGTTGTTTGTTCCCAAGACCTTGGGCTGACCACTTAGTTCAAAGAAGAAAATGTGAAATCACAAATGCAAATTACCCCCTTTAGGAAGATTATTAACTTTTTAAAATTATACAAATTTTCAGAGTTCAAACACAAAAATGTGGACAGTCACATCTAGACTCTGTAGTTAACTATTATTGTTCTTGCTATGCTACATGTCTATTGATCCTTCTATCACTTCATCAATCCATCTCTTTTCTAAATGAACTTTTAATTGACAAATGATAGGCTAAGATTAAAACTCCAAAGTGGACTATATTTTCTAGATGGTTCTAGATGGTTTCTAACCTTCTAAAGAGCTAAGAGCCAAAACAGAGAAGAGCATACACATTACAGAGTACAATTTCAGACATCTTAGGCTTTTCCCAAGAAGCCAAAAATCTGTAAGGTCTGGAGAACCTTCTGAGCACTCCTTGCAAGGTCCCCTTCAAACACTCCTTGCACTTTTTTCATAACTGCATAAAATGATAAGGCTATTCCTGGCAGAGAGTGTTAAAAGTCCAGATTGGGATTCTGTTGCCTAACTATAAACCCCAGCTTTGGCCTCACTGGCTGTGTGTAGAAAGGCAGTAATACAACCTACTCCACAGGGCAGCCATGCATGTTAAATAGGCAAATTATGATAACACAGTAGAACATTGCCTGCATAAAGAAGACTCCTTGTAAGGGCTCCTAGGGAGATTCATGGATTTACCAGTCAATAAAAATGAATTGGCAGCAGTCTCATCACTTTTCTTTTCTTGGGGTTGCTTATTTTCAAGGGTCCTAAAAGCCTCATTAGAAGTCCTGGTGTTTATCAGAAAATTCATCCTACTTTAATTCATCAAATATGTCTTTTGTTAAAACATAAGTGCAATGAAAGGTGGTATTGTTCTGTTTTACCCTCCTAATTTTTGACAGTTTGTAGGCAGATGAGGCCGCAGAGACAGGCTGAGGCTAGACTGTGGAGGACTTTGGATGACAGTGTAAGGAGCCTCTATTCTAAGAGGAATGAGGTTTTTCCCAAGAAGCCAAAATTCTGTAAGGGTACTTACATCTCCTCAGGGTACTTAATGTTAGCAAATGTAAACATGCTTACATATCACATACATGGCATAACGCAGACACTTTCTTCCTGCCTTGTACAAAGCCCACTGTGGATACTGCGCTAGTGAGGACACGGTCCTCGGTGGAGATTCAGGAGTCCCTGTTCTTTTCGCCTTTGCACTCCCACCTCTGCATTCCAGGTCTCCCCATCCACTGCAGCAGCAGAATCAGAGGCTGCTTGGATTGTCACTGGGATCACATTACTGGCTGGCAGATTGCTCCTGAGTTCCCCAAGGCCTCTAAATGTTCTTGAAAAGACAAATCTTTGGTTGTGCCCCCAGCTCCAAGCATGCTTTGTTCATCTCAAGGTCCCTAGGATGCCTAAGGAAATCTGGTGACCCTCATCAGAGTCTAGGAGGGGCCTGTCTCCTGCAGATCTGGGGATTTCACCAGTTACCTGTCTGTGATAACTGGTGAATCTAGACTCTCCAGAATTAACCTCTGTTCTTGATCACTGCACTTTGGGCCACCTAGGTTCACAGAAACCCTTGTCACTATGTTTATTATGTGTCGAATTCCAGGAAAAACTTGTTGCAACCTGCACGCATTGCTGGATTCCACCTCCAGAATTGGAATACCCAGTTGTGTGTGTGTGTGTGTGTTAACAAGTTCTCAGCATATTTGAGATCACACTTTCAGAACCGGCTCTCTAGAACATGCAGGAAAGGACCATGTCTATTTTTCTTTCACTTGTCGTGAGAGTCCTGCTCAGTGTGTGCCATCTGAAGTAAGACAAAGATAAGTGGTTCGCGGAATAAAGAGTGATGAGGAAGGAAACTTCCTAGCCACCGTTCCCCATCCTGGGCCCGCAGCCAGGATTCGCTGCCTGGAACTGCCATTCTTCCCTCCCCACCTGCAAGTGACTCCGCCCTCGTGGTCTTTGTGACGTCACAGCTGGCCCGGAGAATGGTTTCCTTGGCGACGTAAACGACAAAGCCCAGAAGCACAGACTGGAGAACTGTGGTGCTAAGGCTTGGAGCAGCCAGGGCGCGCGCGGCTGGTGCGTAAGCGCTGGGCTAGGTTTAGGGGCTGCGCGGGCCGGGCAGGCGGGGATGCAAAATTGGGGTGACTCGGAGTATTCAGGGTCCGGGGTGGAGCCTTTTGAAGGCTCTGGGCAAGGTGACGGTCTAAAGTTTCGTGGCTTTCTTCCGTTATACTTGCCTTGTCGCATGCCTATGCAGCTGTTCGTCGTCCCTGGTCCCTCTGTCCCAATGCACTCTTGTGTAGCCCATGGGCACGGCCTGCGGAACTAGAGTTTTAGGAGGCTAAGCCCTGCTAAACCGAGGTTCTCTGGGCTACGTGGGATTTCTTTCCACCGGGCACTGTTGCAGGACTGTAGCAGAAATGGTGCAAGCTTTAAAATCACCAGAAATCTACCAGAATCTGGGGTTCAGCCTTTCTTGGCTGCCTGACTTCTGACACCTCACTAAATGGCTGCTTTCTCTCTGCAAAACAAAATGAGAAGTCAATAGAGTGCCAAAGACATATCGGGAGCTCTGATGAGACAAAAATCCCTGTTCTAATGCAGCTTACGTTCTGGGGCCAAATAGGCAATAAAGTGTTTTTGTAAAATGTAGTAATTGGATAGTGGCAATTGCAGAGGAGAAAAATTAAGTGAGGTTATATAGGAGTGGGAAGAAAGAAACCACTTTGGACACGGGTGTAATGGAAGATCTTTCTGAAGGGTGACATTGGAGCTGAGGTTTGAGAGGAGCCACCTAGTTCCAGCTAGATACAAGAGAACATTTTTTTTTAATTTGGTTTTTTTTTTTTTTTGTCTTTTTTTCCTTTTTATCGGTACCGGGGATCAAACTCACGACTGCCTGCTTACAAGGCAGGCGCTTATGCTGCTGAGCTAAATCCCCAGCCCCCAAGAGAACATTTTTTGAGGAGGCTGCAAAAGCAAAGACTGGATTCCACCTCCGGAATTGGAATACCCGGTTTTGTGTGTGTGTGTGTGTGACCCCCTGAGCCGGACCAAAGCTGATGCTTTTGTTCTAAGAATGGAAAGTTTAGGGAAGCTGGAACCATGCCCAGGAGGATCAGTGGAGCTAGCGAAGTGAGGAGGAGGGGCCCTTCAGTATTGCCATTTGTGAGTCCTCAGCAAATGCCAGCCGTGTTCAGCTACCCAGAGGTGAAGTGGGCTATGGGCCTTGGGGACCACCCTGCCACTTATGCACTGTGTCACTCTCCAGGTGAGGGTCTCCTTCAGCCAATGGCAAGCTTTGATTCAACTCCTTGGTCCTCAGCCAAGATGTCTAAGTCCACTGGGGTCTCCAAGAATGACAGTGAGTATTGGGCTGGGTTTGAAGCTAACCACTGAGCCTGGGACAATCAGTTCTGGAACAATTCAAGAATTAAGGCAGCTTTACATCTGGCCAGAACAAAGAAATCACTGGTTTACCAAATCCCCTTACAATGAAAAACAAGGACCATTTTTTATAGCTATGGTAATAAAAGACTACCCATAGACTAGGTGGGTTCAGCAGCAAACATTTATTGTCTCATGGTTCTAGAGGCTAAAAATCTGAAATCAGGGTGTCAGCAGGGCTGACTCTTTCTGAGGGTTGTGAGGGAATCTGTGCATGGCCTCTCTACTGGATTCTGGTGGTTGCTGTCAATCTTTGGCATTCTATGGCTTGTGAGACACTACCCCAATCTCTGCTTTCCTGTTCACACAGTTCTCTGGCCTTCGGGGTATCTGTCCAAGTCTTCCTTTGGAAGGTCAGCTGTCATATTGGAGAGGTCTGTCCTACTCCAGAACTTTTGCTAAACTAATTATATGTGCAATGCCCAAATTTCTGTATAAGCCCATGTTTTGAGGTACTGGGAGTTAGGACTTCAATATACAAATTAGGGGGTGGCACAATTTGACTCATAACAGGCCACAAGAAAAGTATCATCATGGAACTGAGCTGCTTTTGGCTTTATGCTTGCTGTGGGTACCAGGCTGATCCCCAAGGAAGTGACCAGCAAGTGTCAGGCCCTGAGCGAATGTCTCTTCTCCAGTGGAACAACATACGTGCTGCAGATGCTTACACTGGGTGACACAAGAGTGACTGTGAGAAGGACTCAATGGACAATACCATCATCAATACATTTTCAATTCCCTTCAGATTTTAAATTTGAATTTAACTTTTTTTTTAACTAAAGAAACTATGCCATGGTTCAAAGTATATTTGAAGTCCCCTACGCAAGCCTTCTGGAAAGCTCATCCTCTTCCTGTTCCTGGACAGCTCAGAGGTGGCCAGTGTCACCTATGCCTTCCAAGCATGCTCTGTGCACATTCAAGCAAATATGTATGAATGGATTCTGTCCTTTGCCCACACAAATGGTCACACAGTAAGAATATTTTCTGTATCTTGCTTTTTTCCATGAGCCCATGCATTGTGGAGACTGGTCCCTAACAATACATTGAGGTGCAGGACACTTCTGATACTCTGCTCTCAACCTACGTCTCCCTCTGCCCAGGATGTGTTTATCATGTGTGGGTTAGTGTGTGTGTGTGTGTGTGTGTGTGTGTGTGTGTGTGTGTGTATGTTTCATACCCAGATCAGCCTTTCCTTCTCCTGAATTATTGTGTGTACCCGGAAGAGGAGATGGGGATTTCATTTCACCCTGCAGAGTTTATTTGTCAACTCTCATTACAGAAAAGCATTTCCGGACGTCAGTGTGAGTCATAGGCAGATATACTAACCAGAGTTAGAAAGTATGGGAGAATACAGAAAAGACTGCAGCTTGAGCAACTAGAGGGGGCTCACTCTGATGAGAGGTATAGCCTCGTTCAATTACAAAAGGAGACCTGCCTTTGTGGATAAGCTGGGATGGGTCAGGGTCCAGTGGATTATTTTCTCAGTTCTGGTTTTATATCTCTGGAGGAATCCTTATGGTTTGATGGGCAATTTTGTTCCTGGGAGAGGGCAGGTTTTGCTTGGAGGAGTCTTCAGTTCCCATTATGGGATAATTGCTTCCCACTTCGGGGAGGTGACTTCATGAGGAGGTCTCTGAGGCTCTGGTTTCCCTAAAATCGAACTGACTGGAAGTTTAGGACAGTGACTGGGTATTTTTAGTCACTGCTTTGGGTGTCTGAACTGGATATTGTTCGTTGTAAACCTGACAATTTGATGTCCCTGTGAATCATGAAAATTATTCCAGTTACTGGTATCTTGATTTTCTCAGTCTTGAAAGGGAGATGAGATAGGGATTAGATACATTTGAAGCTAAACAAAAACTTCTTAAATCATTAACACACCTACATGCAGAGCCAGACAGAAATCCGATCTTTGGGTACGTGCAGGTCCAGCCTCTCTGTGTTACAATCCTCCACCCTTTGTCTTAGTTCATTCTTCAGTCATGGGAGAATTAGGATGTCACCCATTCTGACTTTGCAAGTTTTCTGGCCAGGTAGTAAATTAGTATATGAGAAGGGGAAATTCTGAGTCTTGAATTTCTGAAATGGCTAGAAAATAAGGTGTGGCAAACACATACGGAACACCTTAGGTAACTCTGACCATGCCTTAGAACTCTAGTTTCCTGGTCTCCTGCCTATCTTTATTTCTTCTACCTCAATTCTAAAAGTAGACTTTTATTTTTAAGATTTTATTTTATTTTACAATACTGATTGAGGCTAGGGAGCACTGAGGTATATCTCCAGCCCTATTTTTATTTTGAAACAGGGTTTAAAGTTGCCCAGGTTGACCTCTAACTTGAGTCTCGTCTGCCTAAGTCTCCTGACAAGCTGAAATTACAGGTGTGTGCCACCACACTTGGTTTAAGGACTTTTTAATTTTAAGAACTATATACTGTTAAAATGTTAGAAAAAAATATAGGATTTTTAAAAAATGCATATAATATTTAGATGTAGCATGCCTTTCTAAGTAAGTCACAAAACTCCAAAGCATTGCATTAAGCAAAAACTGTAAATTCCTGCATGGAAAATATAGATAAACCCAAATGTAATTGATAAATCTCCTGAAGGGAAAATATGCTTCAGATCTCTGACAAGTGATCCAGTGTCCTTTATTAAAGGATCTTAGGCCTCATTTAAAATCTGTATCTTTCTAATAGAAAAGTAAGCAAAAGATACCAACAGAAAGGAGGAAGCAAATAATTAACATCTGAAGCCAGATGCGGTGGCACATCCCTGTAATTTCAACACTCTAGGAAGCTGAGGTAGGAAGATTGCAGCCCAGGCAATTTAGCCACCTGGTGAGACTCTCAAAATAAAAATTTTTACAAAAGGATAGGGATATATGTTAGTGCTGAGGCTCTGAGTTTAATCACCAGTGCTTGAGGAAAAAAATCTGAAAGACTTGGTCACTTCTTAAGAAATGCAAATAAAAACTGAGCTGCCATTTATCACTTACTGGGATGGCAAAATTCTGGCTAAACTTGGTGATCCAGCATAATTGGTGAAAAATTTGAAAATTGCAAAAGCCTGAAAAAAATCTCAGAGTCCATCAAGGAACTCACTGGATTAAGTATCACTAACACCTGTGTGTGAACAGATGGATTTTAAACCCTTTTTAAATTATATGCGTAACATAGAATAGACCATCTTTGCTGTTTTAAAGTGTACAGTTCAGTGGCCTTAAGCACATTCATGTTGTTGTTCAGCCATACTACCATGAATCTCTAAGACTTTTTAAATCTCACCAACTGAAACTGTCCCCATTGAGCACTTACTGCTCCTCTCCCTCTGCCGGCCCTGGTGACAGTGTAAAATAGCGAATCGGTTTTAAAAGAATAAGAACTATTTCATTCCAAACCCAATGTGACTGACTGTTCAGGGAACACAGATTCAAATTATCCTGAAAGACACTTCTGCTGTAAAAAAGGCTAGGTGAATTTTTACAGCCAAAAAGAACAAAGAAGTCCTGTGTCAATGCAATGAACAAACACATGGGTGGCAGCATCAAGCAGGATGCTGCAAAGTGAGGAAATTGTTGCAGGTTTCACTTCATGGCATTGCTAGCTTCACGGCAGGTAGAGGCTAGAATTAGTTAAGCTTCATAGTCACAGAAATGTTACTAAAATACAAAAATTTAATCTAATTAGAGATCCAGAACTGCCAGTGAGTTTTCACCTCACCCACACACCGTATCAGCACCTGTCAGATAGATCAATATGTCAACCTGAGCTGTCTGAAATTTTTTTCTTCTACACATCTACTTCTTTTGTGATCCTGGGAATAAACCCAGGACTTCTGCACTGCGCTGCATTATGCCCAGCCTTTTAAAACTTTCAAGACTGAGACTTGGTTTTGCCAAGTAAGTGAGTTCCCTAGGTTGGCTTTGAGTTTGTGTTCCTCCTACATCAGACTCCCAAAATGTTGGGACTGCAGATGTGGACATTTCTTTTTCAATTAACAACCCAAGTTTTTACATAGAATTTGACTTGTGTATATTTGGTTTGATTCTTTTTACTTGACTTTGTTTTGAATGTTTGATAGCTTCTGATTTTTATGACAGGATTAAGTTTTACTGTCAAGAAACTTATCCACTATAAAAGGAAAGCAACTGCTCAAAAAGAAAGACAACTGGAATGGGGGAAAGGAGAAAAGGAAAGGGGAATATATATATATATGTATATATATGAGACAACTAAAATAATTGCACTATTCATTCTATTAGTTCATTGAAAGGCACAGTTAGTGTTTATACTATGTGATCAAAATTTTGCATGCCTTGCAGGAATGATACAATATATGTAAATTAATAAATGTAATCCACCATATCAATAAAACCAAAAGTAAGAATCACATGATCATTTCTATAGATGCAGAAAAAGCTTTTGATAAGGTCCAACATTCATTCATGATAAGAACTTTACAGAAAATTGGAATAGATGGTCTTTACCTCAATATAATAAAGGCCATCTATGACAAACCAACAGCCAGTATCATACTAAATGGCCAAAAATTGAAAGCCTTTACTTTAAAATCAGGCACAAGACAAGGATCTCCTTTATGACCACTCCTATTTAATATAGTACTGGAAATACTAGCCAGAGCAATTAGACAAGAGAGAGAAATAAATGATAGTAAGAAAGGAAGTTAAATTATCATTATTTGTGGATGACATGATACTCTACATAAAAGACCCCCACAACTCCATTGAAATATTCTTAGATATAATAAATAAATTCAGCAATGTAGCTGGATACAAAATCAATACTCAAAAATCAATAGAATTCCTATACACTAACAACAAAATCACTGACAGATAAGAGAAACCACATGATTCACACTAGCAACCACAAAAATGAAATATTTAAGAATTACTCTCATGAAAGAAGTGAAAGACCTATAAAGGGAAAATTATAATACACTGAAAAAAGAAACTGAAAATGATCTTAAAAAGCAGAAAGACATCCCTTGCTCATGGATAGGAAGAATAAATATTGTGAAAATGGCCATTCTCCTAAAACTGTTATACAGATTCAATGCAATCCCAATAAAAAATACCATCAACGTACCTCATAGATCTAGATAAATCACTCCTAAAATTCATCTGGAATGAGAAGAGACCTAGCATAGCAAAGGCAGTTATAAGCAGCAAAGGCAAGGCAGGAGGCATCACAATCCCTGACTTGAAGTTATACTACAAAGCAACAGTAGTAAAATCAGCATAGTACTGGAATCAAAACAGAGCTGAAGATCAATGGAATAGATTAGAAGATACAACCACAGCTACAAACACACTCAAACACCTTATCTTTGATAAAGGGGCCAAACAGGTTCACTGGAAGAATGACAGTCTCTTTAATAAACGGTGTTAGAAAAACAGGCTCTCTAATATGCTGAAAACTAAAACTGGACCCATGCCTATTACCATGTACTAAACTAAAATCTAAATGGATCAAAGATCTGAATATTAAAACAGAAACACTAATCCATTGGAAGACAAATTGGGTAAAAACCTTGAAGACATAGGGGTAGGTAGAAAATTCATGAACAGAACTCAAACCACATGGGAAATACTTCCCAGAATCAATAACTGGGATCACCTCTTATTAAAAAGTTTCTGCATGTCAAAAGAAATCTCCAGCATAGTAAAAAGAAAACCCACAAACTGGGAAAAAATCTTAGTGAACTGTCCCTCAGAGAAAGGACTTCTGTCTAAAACATATAAAGAATTAAAAAAAATCAGATTCCCAAAATTCAAAGATCCAATCCAAAAATGGGCATCTGAGATGAATACGCACTTCTCAGATGAAGAAATACACATGGCAAATAAATACATGAAAAAATGTTCATCATCATTAGTCATTAGAGAAATGCAAATTAAAACCACACTGAGATTCCATCTCACTCCTGAAAGAATGGCCAGGATCAAGAAAACCAACAACAAATGCTGGAGAGGCTGTGGGGAAAAAGGAACTCTCCTGCACTGTTGGTGGGAGTGTAGACTGGTGCAACCATTGTGGAAATCAGTCTGGAGATTTCTCAGAAAGCTGGGATTGGAAGTCCCATTTGTTCCAGCTATTCCACTTCTAGGCATATTCCCAGAACTGAAAGCGTCATACCACAGTGATACATGGGCACCCACGTTTATAGAAGCACAATATGTAACAGCCAGATCTTGGAAACAACCTAAGTGTCCATCAACTGAGGAATGGATAAAAAAGTTGTGGTACTTTTATACAATGGAGTACTACTCAGCTTTAAAGAATGAACACATTGAGATATTTATAAATAAATGGGCGCAGCTTGAGACCATGCTCACAAGTAAAATAAATCAAACTCACATGTATACATACCAAATACTTTCCCTAGTGTAAGGAATGATAAGAATACATAAAAGTATGTGGTAATCATGATTCCCCATTATATTGCTTTAAAACTTTATAATGTTTCCATTCATTAATTGGAATGGTTTTTAGTTTGACGTGTTTGATTTTATTATCTGTGATGGTATGAACAGCTATTTTGAAGAAAACAAGACATCATAATAGCTAGTGCTGATTTAATATCATCTTGTTTTGAAGTCCCATCAATCTTTTGTTCTTCTGTCTCTATCAGTCTTATCATGTTGTGTCTTATTGGATTTTATTATATGTGATAGTACAAACAAAAAGTTTTATAGACAAGGAGATAATATAGAAACCATTGTTCATTTTCTGTTAGTTGGTTCCAAATACCCTGTAATACTTTCATTCTCTTGAATGGTTTTACATTGTCCTGATATGTTTGATGCTATAGTATATGAAGTTATACTCAAATATTTAAGGAAAGAGACACTATGGTAACTACCGTTATGTCAGGTTATCTTGTGGTGAAACACTATGTTGCTTAATTTGTTCTGTTCTGACCTGTGCTGTTGTGTTGTTATGTCCTCTTTTATCTCAATCTCCCTTTTATTTATTTATTTATATTTTTTTAATTATTGGAAAAAGTAAATTAAAAAATAGCAGGATATATTATAGTAACCATTTTCATTTCCTATTAACTTGATTTGAAGCCCTGTATTGCTCTCACCATCTTGTTTTGACTGATTTTACTCTATTCTGTTTTGCTGGATAGTATCAAGTTTGAGGGTATAGGCAACTTTGGAGACAATAAGATACACTATGTTGCCCATTCTGGTTTGACTATTATCTTCTTTTGAAGTCCTGTAATGTCTCCAATGTTTTAGTTTCATTGGTTTTGTTCTGTACTGTTTTGTTCAATTTTATTATTACTGATGATATAGGCAATTCTTTTTAAGATAGCAAGAGGCATTATGGTAACCATTGTTGATCACCTTGTATTCTGTTTTTACATCATGTTCTATGTCCATCCTTTTGATGTGACTGACTCTGTTTTGTTTTGTCACATTTGGTTTTATTCTCTTCAAAATAAAAGTAATAAGAACTGTAGGAGTAATAAAACCCAAAATGTATAATTGTCATTGTAAAAAAGAGAGGAAAAGAAAGTGCTCTAAAGGATATAAGTGCATGTATATTTAAGTGTATAAGATAGATAACCATATTACTAAGTTTTTGTTGGATCACTGAACATAACTGTTTGCAGTCTCACTGTTTGAATGTCCACTTCGTATGCTTCAATTTTGTAACTTGAACAACTATTTCTAAGATGATAATATGTCATCTATTAACTAGTGATTTCTTACTGTTCATTTTTTGAAATTCTGTATTATTTGTACCCTGTTCTGTTTTTTTCTCTTTAAATAAAATTTTTAAAAAATTTTGCATGCCTATAAATGGTAATCTGAGCAACTATTCTGAAGAAAACAATATGAAATATAATAACCATTGTCAGTTTCCTATCATCTTGTTTTGAAATTCTATATTGTTTTGTTTTTCTAAATTCTCCTTAAAAAAAAAGAAATTTAATCATATACCCACTAGGGAAGGGTGCTAGGAAATCGGAATGATTCAGGAGTCGAATCCCACTGTTTTCCACAGACCTTCCCACTCCCTTCCTTTGCTCTCATTTGACACTTGTGTGCTCTGCAGGGCATTGAAGGCATTCAAGCGTCAGCTCCAGCCCAACCTTCCTGCCTGGTCTGCCTCTATCTCCCTACTTCTTGATACCACTTTACCCTTCTGCTAAGGGCTGGACCTTGGTACCCCACTCGCCCTACTTCCCTGATCCTGCCTTCCCTGTCATCATACCTTAGTCATCATCTTGAATGCCCTGAGGACCACATGCCCCCCCCCCCAACCTGTCCCTGGGACCTGCCCACCAGAGCACATTGTGGCTCTCTCATTCTCATTCCCGGGATAGGGACTGGGATCTCTAAGCGGCAGGTGACACCTGGGTGAGCCTACAGGAAATACTGGGCTACCTGCCTCCTTCCCTGTGGTATGGGTTGACAAGAACAAGGCAGTGGGGCCCAGCAGGTACATGTCATTGAAAGAATGGATGTTCTGGAGATCTTACCCCATCTGGGAGACTTGGCAGCTTCTAGGGAGGGGACCCTGGCTTTCTGGAACCACCTCTGCCTTCCAGGGACACACTTCTGGTTTGATGGGATGGGTGCTTCCTGGGGAAGGACTGAAGTTTGAATCCTCCATTCAAAGCCTTGAGGGGAGCCCTAAGAGGCAGCAATGCTGGTCCGGCCAGAGTCTGAAGTCTTGTCTTTGACCTGCTTGAGCCCCTGCATGCACATCTCAAAAATATCCTGTAGTGCCCATAAGGAACAAGTGGAGGACATGAAAGGGGGGCACAAAACATTCACCTTGTGCCCAGACTGTGGGCGGGACCTTGGATGTCCTTTCTCTTGCACAGCTCTCACATTTTCCCAGCAAAGTCAGTCTGATCATCTCAGATGTAGAAACTGAGGCTCCAAGAGCCAGGTGACTTTCCAAGCTGTTCAGCAAGCAGGAAGGAACTGATTCTGGGACCCAGGATCTCCCCTTGCCTCGAACTATGTTCACAGCTTTCCTGGCCGAGTGTGTCACTGCCATAAACTCTCACTTTTGTGTCTTCCCAGGGAAGAGTCTGGAACTCAGCAACAGTTCTTCTTTGGTCACTAACAAATCGGATACAGGTATAAAAACAGGTAAAGGTAACACTTGAATAGTGTACGCCAAAAGGGTAGAAGGAAATCCCTTCCCATGGCTGAAGATCCCCTCAGACTTAGTCTCTAGAGCTAAGGGGAAGGCAAAATGCTTCTGTTTCTGTTCAGAAACAGAACAGAAACAAAGTAGGATTTATTTTCCCCCCAGTAATGGGAAATAAGATAGTCACAAGATCCATCAGGCTCCACAACCAGCACTTCCATGAATTCATCCAGGTGACTAGGCCCCAAGTCTTTCTGCTTTACTGGAAAAGCTTTAGGACTTTCAACTACAAGGTTGCCTCATGGTCACAGAATGTTTCCAGTAGTCCCAGCCTGATCGTCTTTGATTCCAAGAAGGGAGAAAGGAAGGACCAAACTGCTCATCTGCCAACTCAGCCCTCCCAGGGAAAGGATTCTTTCCAGAAGGCCTGATCAGAAATTTCTGCCCACAATCTATGGGGCAAAATTTGTCATGTGACTTATCAGTATCTATAAAGAGGACTTTAAAAATCAGACACATTGTTATCACCTATTTGGAGGGAGAAAGAAAGGCAACTAGCTGTGACTGCCTCATCCCGAAGCCTCTGTACAGGGAACTTGCTTCCTGCAGTTTGCTCCCTACCTTGGCTTGTCTGGACTCTCTCCTGTCTCCTGCTCTGTCCCTGGGCTCACAGCTTGCCTATAGTCTGATCCTTCCTCTGAGGACTGTAATGTGAGCATAGACTACAGTCCCCCACCACCTTGTTTCTGCTTTATTCTTTTAATTATGAAAATTCAAACATGTCACCAGTAGGGTTGTTTCCTTAAGCCCACAGTCTCATCATCACAACTTAACAAAGTCTTTAAAAATGTCTTCCTAAAGTTCTCATCAGGATTCAGCTGAGAACCGAACCACTTTAGTCTTTTAATCTAACAGAGTCCCTCCCCCACCCTTTAATTCTCGGTGCCTTTGACCTGTTGAGCCATGGTGTCAGTTCTCCCAAGGGATGGACACATTCTGCATTTGTCTGTATTCTTTCTGGGGCTGACATGGTCTCCCAGAGCTCCCTAACAACCTCTGCTATCTCAGCAGTACCCCTCTTGTTTTCCAGAGCTGTCCTACAGTTTTACAGATATCTATAATGTTATTGAGGGTACGGCTGGTCACAATGTGTCTGGTGGGGGAGGCAGGCCCGCCTCTGACCTTCCTGCTTCTTGACACTCATAGTAAAGCCCTTGAGCATCAGTTCTAGAATCAATTTTTCTCCCCCCTCCTTCTCTTTCCCCTCTCCCTCCCTTTCTGTCTCTCTGAATCAAATTCAGTGTGAGGAAGAAAATCATGGAGATTAGGAACAAAGCACACTTTACTCCAGGAGGCTCACACAGGCTCCTAGAAAGACAAACATATGTTCACCTGGGGACCCACAGCTCTCAGCGAAGGCACCCAGCTCAGAGTCAGCAGACCTCTGTTGCCTCCTCCTACCACTTACAGACAGTGTGCTCTGGCTTTTCTCTTCTATGACAAATAGTCTCCTGAGACTTTAAAAGAAAAGACAGGGCAGATGCTCGAGGCACAAGGGTCAGTTTACAGCTCTCAGAGGCACAGGACACAAGACTCGCTCACATTGTGTTAAACCACAGAGGTAAATTGATGGAGCTGGAAGATCCAGGAGTGGACTTCAGGCAAATCTGGATCCAGGAGAACATTTGCCATTCACTGTGTGTCACATGCTGGATTGGGAGGGTTCAGGGACCCCAGAAGCACAGATCACTGCCTGAGAAAGCAGGCCTCTCCTTTCTCCAACAAAATATTTCTCTTTCAGGACATGTGAACTGGGCTCCAGGCAGCCCAGTTAATCCTTTCCATATGTCTGGAGATGTGGATATCTTCTTGTTCAGAGATCAGGAGCGGGATAAGGCTATCTCTGTGAGTATCCAGCCCCTGTGGGAAGCTTCTCTTGCCCTGGTGCAGCTTTCTGTTACATAAACAGTGCCATACTTTCCTTCTCAGAAAAGCACTTTCCTTGGGCCACTCTCACTCTGGAATAAACAATGACTCCCCTTTTCCTTCAGAATTACCTAAAAATACTGCCAGCTCTCAGACTTCTGACTTGCCCCCTATCTTACCCATTTCCATCCCTATTGTTCTTGGTCCTTGGTCAAATGAGTTCCTTGGGCTGCAGTAGCCACAACCTCGGCCACCATCTCTTACACTGTGCCCTGTGTGAAATGCCATTCCCTTTTGATACTCTCCCTGTCCTTGAAGGATTACCTTAGACTTTGTGGGCCCTCTTCTCCGATTGCTCTAGCCTTATGTCTGTCTCCTTGGAATCCTGGAGGCCAAGTATGCACATGGATAAACATACACATGCTCCAAAGCAGTGTCTTGGAGTCCTGGGGTAGCCCAACATCCTGCCCAAGCCTTGTCTGCACCCTAGCATGCTCCTTGAGTTCCCCCATGAAAGCTGTGCCCAGAGGTGAGGGCAGCCCTCATGTTCCCACAGTTCTCAGCACAGCCATGGCAAGCCTAGGCCTGCCCACCCAAGGAGACATTCTGGCCTCTCTCCTGGGCTGACCAGACAGCCTCTGCATTGTTCTGACCCAAGGCTTAGCCTCTGGGACACTGTAAAGCACTGGTTCCCAGGGTAGCTAGACCTTCATGCCAGCATTAGCTGGGCATTGGTGGAAGGACACATTCTTTCACCCCACCCAGACCTCTGGTCAGACATTCCAGAACTATGTTTCCAGCCCTCTCAAGATGCTAAGTGGCAATGTCTTCAGGGAGGTACTGCCCTGGGAAGTGCCCTGTTCAGCTTCAGAGAATGGTCTGCATACCCAAGAGCACCTCTCTCTGACCTCAACCTTGCTGGTCCTATTATTCTCCAACACAAGACTTGGTTCTTTGATTTTCAAACCTGGCCCTACACCCTTCTTCCACTAAACATCCACCTTCAAATGAATGTACCTACCAATCCACCCAAGCCCCACCTCCAGCCTCACATCCTCCTACTCCAACAAATCCCCCAACCTCATGCCCTCCTCACCCAGCAGAGCCCCCAGCCTTCCTGTGGTCCTAAGCAGCTACCTAATGCCTTATAAAGGAAGACCTAATGCCACTGAAACTCTAAGACTGACATTTTCCTAACCCTGTTATTACACATAGATGTGCCAACTGGTGGCTTCAGGTTAGATCCTGTGTTTGCTGAACTCCTGCAGGATTCATAGGTGTGGAATTGTTTGTGGTACTTGGCAGGTGCTAACAGCAAGTTGGTGACTCTGGAGAGTCCCAAGAGACTTTAGTGAAGGGCCAATGCTGAGGGAAAGCAGGTGAGGGCCTCAGAGGACACATGCAGGCCTACAGTTCCCAGTCAACAGCAGGGTGGGAATTTAGGCAAAAGATTCACTATGGGCAGTGGTTTCCTTCCACCATCCTGAGGTCTTCTCTGGAGGGAGTGCTGGGCCATGATGGCACCCAACAGGGGTGGGACTGGAAGTTTAGGAAAGTGGGAAAAATCAGTGAGAACCACCAATGACCTTCCAGTTGTGTGACACTGACAATAGAACCTGCAGATCAAACTTACGATTTAAAGGTTCTTTTGGAAACTTAGATCTAAGTTCCTTGAGCATATTTGTTATCTATATCATGTCAAAAATGCATGGCCCTCAGTTAAATGTAAATCTCAGATAAGAATCATCTGTCAGTAGGATTGTGTCCCAGCCTGTGTCAATCTGGGGGAACATGTGGGTGGGCGCCTGTAATTTATCTGGTGATCCCACCTGGTATGCTGTTCTGTGGTGCTGATTGGCTTCCCTGTAAGCCTTTTTGCCAACTCCACTCTCAGTCCAGGGCTCTGTGGAGAGGATCTCAGGGCTGGCCCTTTCCACAGCTCCACAAGTGTTGTGTGATGCACTTTGTACATGTGTGTATGTATGTGTGTACCTTCCCATGTGCCCCTAGCCCAAGAGGGGCCCATGTAGACATCCAGCCAAGGCACATCAGGGTATTGGGTGGGAGGAGAAACCTGCATCCCACCTGACCCAGTTCAATGTCCCCAGGAGCGGGAGCAGAAGAAGACGATGCGAGTATATGAGAAAATGACATACGCCTCCAAGATGGCTGCCAAGAACAGAAGCCTGCGGCAGGAGCTGCAGCTTGAAGAGGAGTTGGATGACCAGGAGCTGCAGGCTGAGATTAAGAAGCTGCGCACCTTTAGTGATAATGCAGCCTGGAAGCTAATCATGACCAAAGGTGCCACCCTCCACAGCCTGGGGTGGGCCACCGGGGGCAGTCATGCCTCACTGTGACAGCATCTGGGGGCTCCTGTGTCCGCAGCCATTCACTATATACCTATAGGAGGGCTTCCCACATCAGGACCTGACTGCTAACTGGTATGTTTCAGGGCTCAGTCCCTAAGGATTGCAGCTCTAGGAGTTTGTGCATCACAGTGGTGCAATGCATTCTGAATGTGGATGGACACCACTGATATAGGGTGAATGACCTATAAAACAGGCAGTACAGACAGTGTAGGTTTGGAGTGTGGCTCAGTGGGACAGCATTGCCTAGCATGTGTGAGGTCCTGGGTTCCATCCCCAGCACCAACACAAAAATCAAAACCAAATGAAACCAAACCAAAAAAAACAAAACAAACAAACACCAAACCACAAAAACAAAGCAAAAAACCTCACAAACCAAACCAAAAGAAAGCTTTGTTAGTTTGAACTGCCTTATTTTATTCCTCACTGGTTCCTCTTTTGACTCATTGATTTTTCTCTTGCTTCTTTCTAGCTTTGTAGTATTATACTATGTGTGTGTGTGTGTGTGTGTGTGTGTGTGTGTGTGTGTGTGTGTTACTGAGGACTGAACCTAAGGCCTTCATACTGAGGTGCATTTCCCAGTCTCTTAAATTTTTGTTGCTAATTTGCTAAATTGCCCAATCAAGATTCTGACTTGTGCTGCCTCATCTTTCCAAAGTGCTGGGATTACAGGCCTCTGCCACCACAGCTGGCTTGAAATTTTTTCATTATTTGAGTTGGTAGAATATTAATACATATTCAGTATTTAAGATTTCCAACCAGGTAATAAAAATACTAACACCTCTGTCATATATATGTTTTATTTTACTACATTCAATGATTAACAAAATTAATTCCCACAACCCATGGACACTGGTACCGTTAACAGCCAGGAGTTGACACTGAGCTGCCAAGGGCCAAGTAACTGGCCATGAACATGAAAGTAATCAGTGCTGTAGCTGGACCTGGAACAAAGCTAGGAAGAGACAGGTCTTGGAGCACAGTGGGATCCATGTGTACTGATTTTGCCTTGCTGTGACTACAGCTTCAACATGAACAACATAGAGGAGGCAGCTTGTTTTAACTCACAGTTTCGGAAGTTTCAGCCCATGGGTATCTGATCCAAGGCAGGGGATCATGGTGGAAGGGTATGGCAGAAGAAAGATGCTTATCTCATGGCATCCAGAAGGCAGAGCAAGCAGGAAAGAGCCAGAGAGAGTGAGAAAGGGATTAGAAACAAGCTATATATCCTTCTCGATTATACCCCCAGTGACACACTCTCTCCAGGCAGATCCTTCCTCCTCACAGCACAGGGATCAACCCGTGAGGTTAGCCCTCCATGGTCTAATCATTTTTCAAAGCTCCACCTCTGAACATAGAGCCTTTGGAGGGCATTTTTGATCCAAACCATAACAGGTACTAAATGTGCATTTAAAACATGGTAAGACTCCACAGCTTCTACCTCTGATGCCAGCAGTTTGTTACTTTGGTGGGAATCCTGGAGCTTGCTTGGAAGTTTTGTGTGCTGTCTGGCACTAGGGAGCAGCATCACATTTTCTGCCTCTGCTCTCTATTCCTAAGACTGGGAGAGGCAGGGAAAGCAAGACCAGGGGAACTGAACCCCATATGTTTGGGCTATCATCTTCTCTGTCCTAGGCTTGACTGCCAGTGAGGAGTTGGGTCTCCTTGAGGGGCAGAGACTGCTCCCAAGTTATTCAAAAAGGCCAAGCTAGGACCTCTAGTGAGCATCTGGACTCAGAAAAGAGTTCCTACATCAACCACACCAGGGCTGCTCTTGTGGAACAGAAAGGATCTGAGATTATACAGCAAAGAGCCACATCATGTCATGTTCCTCTGCACAGTTCCTTGGAATTCCAAAATTAGGGGGCACCTAGCACTTCCTCTCCCAAAACATGAGAGAGAGGCCCCCATGGCCCTTGGCCTGCTCTTGGCTGTCCTTCTGCTTGTGGTAGAAAGTTACTCAGACCTCCATCTGTTTCCTCTGCCTGCTTTAAACCCTGCTAGTGTAGACTAAGATGTAGACTGGGCTCTGGGGTCTTTGAGTGCCCTGTTTTTCTTCCCCACCTCATTCAGGACCTGCTAGTAGGCCTTTTGTAATTAAGTCCAACTAGGTGAAATTTCTAGTGTGGAGGTGTCTGGATCCTCATTCCAAGTGAAAGGGGTACTACAGCAACAGAGCTAGACCAACACTACTCACCCAATATAACACCAACTATGGAGACCATAATATGCTGATCCCTTAGTATCTACAGGCAATGGGTCCCCTGCACACCCCCATCTACACTTAGAGACCAGAATCTGCAAATGCTCAAGTCCCTTACATAAAATGGTATATCACCTATGGGCATCTCTTGCATACTTTAAATCATCTTTAGGTTACTATAATACCTAATAAGGTGTAATTGTTGTGTAAAAAGTGATACTGTGTTACTTATAGTGACAAGGGGGAAAGGTTTACATATGTTTAGAACAGATGCAATATTTTCCCAAATGTTTTTGATCTGTGATTAGTTGAATCCAGGGATTCAGAATCCACAGATATGGCAGGTTGGCTGTATACTGGGGAGAGACTTCTGTCTTTTTGCTGATGGCAGAGAGTAAGATTTTATCTCCTGTGATCCCTGTAGCTTCCCAGACTGGCAGCAGATCCCTGTCCAGGAGCCTGCTGGAAGCCCCTGCTTGTTCTCTTTATGCCTGTCTTTTGTCACACTCTTAGCCTCTCACTTTCATTTGCCTTTCTCCTCTCATTTCAGAAAAGAAATTGGAGCCTGATTCAATAATCAACTACGTTGACCAGAATCGAAAGATGTTTCTTCTCCAGGTGGGCTTAGTTATACCTGCACAAGGGCTTCTACCTGGGGTGTCTGGCCCAGGCCAGGTTCTGTGACAACTACTCTGCTGGCCTTCAGTATACCCTGGATATGAAACGCAATGAGATCCAGCGGCTAGAGATGTTAGCAACCTGGGAAGAGATCAAGCTGGAGAAGGCTGAGAAGTCCTTGGAGAAGGATGCAGCCTTGTTTGATGAGTTCCTCCGGGAGAATGACCGCAGCTCGGTGCAGGCCATGAGACTGTGAGCTTGCAAGGGGCTGGCTAGTCTAGCCACATCATCCCCTTAGGCCCTTGAGCCTATGCACACCCATTCACTCTCTTTTCCCTGGCCCAGACCCAATGCAACCTTAGCTGGACCTCAGCCAGCCCCTGACTTCTGGCCAGTCCCCTGGTTCCCTACTTCCAACCCAGGAGGCCGGGGCCAGTAGTTAATTGCTGGTCTTAACTCATCTATGATTGTCCTCCTGGTCCCTACCCATCCCCCAGGGCTGAGAAGGAAACAAGAGCCAAGGCAGAGAAGCTCATGGAGATCCAAAACCTCACCACTCAGATTGTAAATATAAAAAGGTAAAGGCAGAGGGCATGCTGGCCTTTAGTGGCCTATTTTTCTCCATCACTGTACCCATAACCAAAGGGAACTCAGTATTATGTAACCCTCGTTACTGTATCTCTCTCAGGGACTCAACTCTTTGCTAGAAGCTGTATCTCATTTTCAGATGGGGGGACTAAGGCCAAGAGAAAGTCAGTGGTTTTCTCAAGGTCATACCACCACAATACAGGACCAGTGTGGCTCAGAAGCTCCCTGGGCTCCAGCTTGAGAATGGTAGGCAGAGTCCCCTGGGTGGAGAGGAACATGCAAGTTTTTAAGGTCCACAATTCTGCGAGCTCTGATTACTTCTAGTCCTTACCCAGTATTCAGAGCTCCTGCACCTACTCCACAGAATAAGTTGTCTACCCAGGTTTGGTCATGGAGAAGGCCAGACCCAGCAGGGACCTTGCAAATGGATGGAACCTGATCTCAGCCTTCCCTCCTCGGGTCTAGTGAAATCTCCAGACAGGAAGACACTCTGCAGCATTACAAGGCCTATAAGGATTTCCTGTATCAGGTGTCTCCCAAGGAATGGCTGGATGAACAAGAGAAGAAGCGATTGGCTCTCAAAAAGGCCAAGGAGGTTTCTGAGATCACCAAAGATGAGAGTGTGTCCTCCACACCAGTGGACAAAGGTAGTAGAAAAGAGAATAGGGATCCTCATGGTGAGCTCTGCTGGTGGTATACAAAGACCTTAAGCCCTGCTGGCAGGACCCACAAGGCTGCCTTTTCCTACCTTACATGGCCGACCTGGGTTCTACATGGAATAGTGCTTACCCTTTACCCTGCCATGGGGTCCCCATCCCAAGCATCTGCATGAGGATATTGCCAGTGCTCAAACAAATCTAGAGACTTTCCTGTTAAGCACCATCCTCCCTCTGGGGTAAGGGCAATCAAATGAGCCTGAACCCCAGCTAATTTCACCTGGGATCTCTCCTTTGTTTCCTTTAGGATCAGGGTTCAAGAGCAAGATGGTCTCCCTGTGGGCCAAAGGTATGTGGCTGCCCTAGGCTGGAAGGGGTCCAGTATTCCAGGCCGGGGCCCATGGAAATCATTCCCCGGCTTCCTCCAGAATCTCAGGGCTTTAAGAAGCCCTGGAAGCTTCTGCAGGCTGTGAGGCTACGGCAGGGCCTATCCAGCAGCAGCATCCTCCAGCCTGCCAGTCAACCCAGTATGTCTATCAGGTTGGACTCCAAAGGGTAAGTGGCCTCGCAGGGGCCTAGAAAGGGCTGGGGCTTGGAGGGAGCAGTTTCTGATGGCCCCTAGGGACAGTAAAGGGAGGCAGCCAGAAGAGTATACTACTAAAAGGTCCTTCGAATCTAAGATGAGGGCCAGCATGACATGCAGGGTTACATGAGAAATGTTGAGGATCAGAAGGTAGATGGAAGAGCATGACGAGGATGGTTATTGTGGCTTCCAAGAAAGGAACCAGTGAGGTGAGCCAACAGGCTGAGGACAGGCTAGCTTGAACAATATCAGGCACAGTGCTGTCCTTAGTGGTCTGGTGCTATTCCTGAGAGTGGGACCAGACTGGGGCAAGGGAAGAGTGGCTCAAGTGCAAGAGCCCCATACTGGAAGGTGTGGACACTGGAGAGGTGGTGAGTTTGTGATGGAGCCACATTCCAGGATGAATTCCTCAAGAAATTGGCTAACCTGGGGAGAAGGGTCCCCCTGTGATTGCAAGGACCCAGGTGTCAGAGCATCACAAATATAAAAACTAAGAGATATGGTACTACAGAGGTAAAGTGGCATCCTTGGTGGTTTGTTTCTTGTTTCTTGGTGCTAGGGATGGAATCTAGGGCCTCAAACATGCCAGGCAAGTGTTCTTCCACTGAGCCATAACCCCAGCTCCCTCATACGGTCTTAATGACATTTACCTGATGACAAATATGAACAGATTTCATATTTATTGACTTTTCAAATATCCTTGTTTGTGAGGTGTCCAGTTTCTGCACATTTTTATTGGGTTCCTGGTCTTTTTCCAGTGGCTCTCTATTAGTTCCTTGTATAGTCTAGGTGACCGCCCTTTGTGCTAATTGTAGGACAAATCTCCTTTCAGTCTTTGTCTGACCTACTAGCCTTCTAATATTCTCTTTTGAGGAACAGAAATTCTTAATTTTCATGATTTAAATTCGGTGATCTTTTCACTTAAGACTGGTGCATTTTGCACCTTGCTTAAAAAATCTTTGCCAACTTCAAAGCATTAAAATACTCAACTATGTCTTCTTAGGAAGCTTTATGGTGTACACATTTGGATGAGGGCAATGGTGGTGATGGTGGGTGAGGGAAGAAGTGGATGTGGAGCTCAAAAGCCTCTTGTTTGTCCTCACCCTCTCCTTTCCTCTCTCCTCATCGACTTCCCCCTGCTATGCCCTATCCCTGATCTGTGACTCCCTGGACCTGTCCTCTGGTTTTGTTTCCCTCTGCTCATCAGTGCCACACCATAGGCATGTTGGTGACCACTACTGGTGGCACTGAGACTGGACCAGGCACATGCTGCATGTGAACTGTAGTCCCTGTGACCCAGCTGAGGAACACTTATTTCAGTATTTGGGAACATAGATTCTAAGAAGTTAGATATGCTATGCTGCTTCCTTTGCCCTGGTTGTCCCTCTGTGCTGGAGCTCTTTGTTGGGGAAGTTGTTGAGAATACAGGTCTGGATCACATTGTTCTGGCTTTGAATCCTGGCTCTTTCATCTATTAGCTAGTGACGAGGACCAATGAGTACAGCTGGGCAGGTTATGAGCTGCACAAGACTTTTAATTGATCTAGCCCACTCCCAGTCACCAGGCCAGGGACCTGGACCAAGCTATCTCCCTCGGGAGGATGAATTCTCAGAAAGACATCTTACAGGCCAGCAGTGCCCCAACAGTGGCCTTGAGCAGGTGGCTGGCTCAAAATTCCTATTTTATAAAAGAGAACCTGTGTTTGTACACTGGGAGGCCCAGGCTCTAGCTGTTGCCATGGTTTCTCCTCTGGGAAGCTCTCTTTTCTCCTCTCTTGGGGCTCCTACCAAGCCCTGTACTGATACCTATCTACTTCAGGGGGCTCAAGGCCTGAAGCCAGTCCATCCCACCCTTCAGCCAAGCATGATCTGCACATCCTGGGCCAAGTTCCAGGCTGGGGGTAATGAGAAGGGGTTGCAAATATGTGGAGGTTGTCCAAGGGCTCACATTCAGCCTCATAGCCCACATAACTGCTGTACCCTTCTACCCTAATCCAGCACAGGTCCTGCCCCTGCAAGCTGCTATTCAGGGTCAGCTGGAGGTGGTCTGTGTGTTCTATGATGACTGAGTAGAACTATCAAGGGTCGGTGCTGAGACCAAGGTGGCACAGGAAAGGCCTCTGAGATGGCTCTCAGAAAACAAATGGTGAGGGAGACAGGCAATACAGGAGGTGCAAAGGCATTGAGGTAGGACCAGTACCTGGAAAGAGGGGAACAAACACACAGGGCAGGGACAGAGTGACCTCTGGGGTGCAGAGAAGAGTGCCAATTGTTGATAACAGTTTGAAAGCATCCTCTGGCTGCTGTGTGACATCTGCAGTACCATATTGGGTTGGTGCTGACTGGGAACTGGTAGGGAGGACAAGGATGAGGAAGATGCTCCATCCACGTCTTCAGGTCTCTGTGCCCGCTGCTCACTGCGGCCACTCAGGCTGGTCTGGGGAGCCCTGACACTCTCTTTGCAGGTTGAGCTCTACCCTCCCATCCCAACAGTCTCAGGCGGACACTGACAGTGAAGGCGGAGAGGTCTGTGGCCCAGTTCTGCAATTCTGCTCGCCCTTCCTCCCCTCACCCCTACTGCCCCAGACCCCTTGCCCATGTGGCCTTCTCACAGGAGCTGCCACTGTACTTCACGGAGCCCCGGCAGCTCCTGGATGTCTTCATAGAGCTGGAAGAGCAAAACCTGTCACTGATCCAGAACACGCAGGAGATGGAGGAAATGCTGGATGAGCTGAAACTCACCTTGAAAAACACACAGATTCGCATGTAGGTCCCAGGCAGCGGGATGGGGGCTCCCTCCCCGGCTGGGCTGTGTCCTGGGAAACTTCTACACCACTTGCAGGCTTGGCCCTAGGAGAGGGTGTGTTCTCTTGGCAGGGCTCAGGCAAGTCAAGACCCTGGAACCCACCTAGAAATTAGAGGGTGGAGTTGAGTGGTCCCTATTCTAGATCAGCCTGTGGCCAGAGGGAAGTGTCATAAGGAACTCCCAATCCAGGTGCTTTCTGCTGCTGATGCCAGGCTCCTTGGGTGCCTCACAGGCCCTGCCTACTATGTCAGAGGGCCACAGCACCCTGCTCCCCAGATCGCTGGCAGTGCCTCTGTGCTATGTCCCAATGCACTCAGATTAGACAGGGCTGGAGGCTGGACGGGGCAATCACAGGTCATTGGGAAGTGTCAGCTATCCACATCCAACACTGTTCCTGTAGGGCTGTTGGGAAGGATGTCCTACTGTTTCTGGGGCATCCAGCACAATGGGAGTAGGAGGAGGCATAGCCATTCATTAGGGCACATGGCACGGTGATTCAGTGCTATCCCACAGGTGGAGTGAGGCTGGGATGGATGGACGCCTCTAAGGGACAAATCTGCAACTTTCCTCTAGAAAGGGCATTCTAGAGGAAAGAGGCTTGTCCAGTGTGGCAAAGGTTCTGGAAACACCCTGGGGAAAACCCCAGCCCCCAGATCAAGTCAGAGGGCAGCACATGAAGGCAGATCATATTCAGCTCTCAGCTGGAGCCCCTGGGAGGCTCTTGGGATCCCTCCTGCTGGCCATCAGCTATCCCAGTTCCCCTCCCCACAGACAGCCACTCTGTGGGCCCAGGTGGACTGGGCAGAACAGAGGGTGCTGAGCACTAGGTAAGGCTTTCCCAAGCAAGTAGCTTTTACTCCTCAAATACTAAGCATCTTGTCTAGATCAGATCTGGGTCTAATGCTTGCACAGATAAAGCAAGGTGCCACCATACACCCTAGCCCAGGACCTGCCCCATGGAGCTTACATAGAATGACAGCAGATACATTTAGCCAGTCCATAGTATGACTTGGAAACACTGATGTGTCAGATAGAAAATAAAGTGAGTGATATGAGAAAGGAGGCTTCAGTGGAGGGTGAAACAGATGAGAGGCTACAGGAAGGCTTCGAAAAGTCATGTGGCCCAGGGATGTCCTGAAGGATGAGAAAGTAGCCAGCAATTACAAAATCTGGGGAAGCAGACTGCAGTCAGCAGAGGGAATAGCAAGTGCAATAGCAAGAGGAGAGAGCCAGTGGAGGCTTCAGTGTCTCATGGGGGAGCCATGCTTCTGAGAACCTAAGTCCTACTGGTTCAATATGATTGGGAGCTTCTGGCATGATGGGAAACTACCAGCTCTCAGGTAAGGTTGTGTTCCTTGGAAAGCTGACAGGCATCAGAGACACAGAAAAATGAGCTGGGGAGAGATAGACAACCTCCTATATTCTCAAAGAACTGTTGAGAAGACAGGTCCCCTCCCCCAACATGTACACATGCATGCCCACAACCTCACAACAGAATGCTGAGTGTGACATCCAGAAGGTGGTTTCAGCCCACTCCACCATCTCTGTGAGTACAAATTTTTGGTTTCCAGAGGAGTCATAACCCATGCACATTAAACTGCCATTCAGTCAGTCACTTCTTCTCAGAAAACCATTCAAGTAGTGTTTGAAAAATATAAAACAAATAGACAATGCAAATAGGCCTCTACTACTAAAGAAATTGAAGTAATAATAAAATTCCAAAAAGGAAATCCTGAGGCCCAGACAGATTTACTAGTGAATTAGATCAAACAGGTAGGGAAGAAATTATACCAATTATCAACAATTTTTTCAGAAGACAGAAGAAGAAGGAATACTTCCTAATTCATACCTAATTCATACCGTAAGACCCCACTATCAAAACCAGGAAAAAACATTACAAGAAAAAAATATAATAATCTCTGTCATCAACATAGACACAAATATCCTTATGCATTGGAAAAAAAGTGTGACTGTTAGAAATAGAGTACACATGCGCGCGCGCGCGCGCACACACACACACACACACACACACACCAAACACTCATATAATCACAGGAGAGCTTACCACAACATTATTCAAGACAGCTAATAACTAGAAACAATTCATATATCCAGCAACAGGTAGGTGGACAAACAAAATGTTTTCTATCCACCACTTCCATTAGGTTTTGGTTATTGCTATAATATACTGCTACAAATGGAGCAGCTTAAAACCTCATGGATTTATTCTCTTACAGTGCTGAGGGCTAGAATTTTGAAATAGATCTGTGTTAAAATCAAAGGGTTGGCCAGACGTTTTTTCTTGGATGCCCTAGGTGAGAACAAGTTTCTTTTTATTCTTTTACTCTTTAACTTTAGGGTTAAATGTGTCTGTTTAATTCTGTTTTGTTTTACTGCTATGCTTGATATACTTTTTTGGGGAGGTGCTGGGGATTGAATCCAGGATTTCATGTGTGCTAACTGTACACTCTTTATCACTGATCTATGCTTCCAGCCTAGAATACATTTCTTGATTTTTCCAGTTTCTAGAGGCCATCAGTTTCTCTGGTCCTTGTCATTTTCCACTAGCATCCATTAGATGAACCTTTCTCATGTTACATCACTTTTATCTCTCTTTCTGGCCTCTGGTCTCTGGCCTCTATTCATAAGGACCCTGTGATTACAGAAGGCCCACTGTCTTGCATCTCAAAGTCGGCTGATTAGAAACCTCAAGACCACGTGCAATCTTGATTTCTCCTAGCCAAGTAACATATTCACAGGTCCCAAGAATTAGGACATGGACCTGGGGGGGGCATTATGCCCTTAGAATACTATTTGGAAGCAAACAAAACAAATTATTAACATAGATGTTATGGTTTGTGTCTAGATGTCCTCCCAAGACCTCATGCAACTTGCAGGTGGGGATCTGTAACTGATTCATAGAGGTAACTGTAACTGTAACTGTAACTGATTCATAGTGTGATGCTAAGATTTTGGGTAACAGGATTAAGGGTGGGTGATTACTAAATCAGTCTACTGCCCTAATCCCCATAGTCTGGTCACAACATCAATGACAGAAAAGGGTTTGCCTTGTCCATTGCTTCCTTGCTTTGCTATCGCCTGTCTTCCATTAACAGTCTCTCCTCTACAATGCCTGTTTGCTACACCATGCCACTCTGCCTTGTAGCCAGTCAATAATAGAATTAAACTTCTACAAACTATCAGCTAAATGAACCTTTTCCCCTTTAAGTTTGAATTAAACTTCTACAAACTATCAGCTAAATGAACCTTTTCTCCTTTAAGTTTGGGTGTTAGGTATTTTGTCTCAGCATGAGAAAAGTAATTGAGACAATGGGCAAGAACATGGACCTGAGGCTGAGAGAAAGAAGCCAAACACGAAATACCTACTAAATCATTAACTTGAAGTTTTAGAACCAGCTGTTTGGGTTATCCACTGTGGATCAGGAATAAGACACAGTTTAGCACTATCTTCTACAGGGCAACCCCTCACAGATTGCCATCTTAGTGGTGGCTTGGTCACGCTCATTTGAAGCTTCCATTGGAGAAAGGTTGGTTCCCAAAACATGCATGGGATTTTTAGCAGAACTGTTTCTCACTGACTATTAGCTGGAGGTCACCAACCTCACAGTGTGATCACAGGCATGTGCCCCCATGCCCAGATTTGCTCCTCAGACATTTTCAAGGCCATCTTTCTGACACAGGAGCTTGCTTCTTCAGTGTGCTGGGAAGATAGAGTGGCAATCTGCTATAACCTAATTATAGAAGTGACTCCTGAAGCTGAGCACTAAGTCCAAGATCTATCTCTCTCCATGACCACCTCCATGGATAACTTCATCTGACCTTTGTCATCTTTGCAGATGTATCACCTCTAGCATATATATTGTGGAATGTAAGGAATTGCACATAGGCAAACTAATTAGGAATAGCCTGGGGAAATGATAATTTTTGACAAAAATAATCAGTTTTTCTTGAGATAGGCAGAAATGAAAAACAATGTGACTAGAAGATTGAGATCAGGTGTGTATAATCTGGCTAGCACCCTTTCTACTTTTTTGTTTTTTCTTCTTTTGGTACCAAGAATCAAACTCATGACCTCACACTTGCCAGGCAGGTCCTGCACTGCTGAGCTACAACCCTGGTCACAACCATTTCTTGTGAGATGTGCACTAGTCTGCCATCATTCATCACTAACCTATAAACTGCTCCTAAATCACTTTTCATCAAGATGGTCATTTTGGCTGGTTCTCCATAGTGATCAGTTAGCTCATCATACCTTTATCACCTCTTTGCCTCTCAACTGGCTTGTGTGGTGATCAGACCTCATTTGCATATGGCAACAGATTTGGCCAGTTAGCAGAGTGGAGGCTCTACCTGCGGTTAGCTGACTTTGACTGGCAGTCCCTTACATAACCCCTCAATAGCTACAAACTCCTCTGGCCCTAGAGGACTGTCTCTTCTGTTTTCCTGTCCTGACATAGCCTGTCTCCAAATACCCCATGTAGCAGAGAAGGAATGCCTTTTGGTAAGTCAGTGAAGCAAGGAGTAGGATAAGGTGCACTCCAGAAACTCACTTCCTAGCCCATTGAGTTCATGCCTCTTTGTGAGACAGACACATTTGGTTAACAAGAGTGCTCTGCAGAAGTAGCAGTTATAGGAATAGCAGTTATACCCAGAATCTTGGAGCTGATTCACTGGTGTTGCCTTTAATGGAATTTGTAAGTTTTTAAAAAAAAAAAAAAAAAAAAAAAAAATATATATATATATATATATATATATATATATATATATATATATAAAGTTAATACTGTTTCCAAATAACCTAGTATTTCTGGCAGGATGCAGGGAATTTTATTCAATGGTCAGTGAATGGAGAAAGATAGCTCATGCTCTAAAGACAACTTTTCCCCATTCCATATAGGATCAAAGGGTGTCCTGTGTTTTCTATCATTACCATAGCTTT